AAAAGGGTTTACGGTATGATAAAGTTCCTCCTCCATTCAATCAAAATTACACTGTTATCCTTATGACCCAGGATGAAATTGACAGAGAACCATATATTGTGTATGGCAAACCTGCTGTACCAGTGACGGAGAGTAGCACTAGGGAAAAGGATACTAACATTTCTACTTCCTATCTAGATTCTCATTTAAGTCAAGGCAAGCAGGCTTCAGAAAAGAGTGTGTCTGATAATAAAATTGTTTCAGAATCTGATGTTTTTGTTTCAAACGATGCTACTTTTGTTTCTGACTCGAAAAGTAATGTTTTGACTTGTGATGATTCTATGTCAAAGTCTGATGACTCAAATTTTTTTGATATGTTTGATGATCTATTTAATAATTTTGATGTTCCTATTACGTGCACATCCACGCTACCCTCACCAGTCACACAACCTGATTCTTGAACATGTACTTATGGGAAGAGTAAGGTTGTCATTAAAGAAAATAAACCAGAAAAAGGCGGTACCAGTTTTTATACTAAGAAGCAGACATGTTTTAACTGTGGTACTGCTGGTCATATCGCATGTAATTGTCCAAATCGGGCATTTGTACCTTTCTATGCACACAGAAGCGAGAATGAGTCTCGAGGAAGGTCTCTCCTTAGAAAATCCTTGAGATCTCGTCCTTGTGATGATTATTGGAATGTAAACAAAGATAGAAAATGGGTTGATCTTAAAAAGAATAAACAGGTTTTCAATGAAAATAAAACAGGAACTTTTACGAATCCAAACATGGCTAAGCCAAGATCGGGTTCGTCAAAGGCTTCGTTTGGGTCTTCGGCTAATATTAGACGGAAACCCAAACGATCAAATTCAAAGAAAAATGTTTTAAAATAAGCTGTAAAAGTTTCTAAACCTAACTACCAATGGGTGCCCAAGAATCTACATGTCCAATCATCTCAATCTTTTGAAAGTGCATCTGTTAATGAAACAAATTCAAAAATTGAAAAAGGAAAATATGTTCTTAACAAGGGAAGACCCAAAGTTGTTATGACCTGAGTTCCTAAATCTCCTTAATCTCGCGCATTGTGCAGGAACAGCTGCGGAGGAATGTCGTCAGACCTTGGTATGTCGACAGTGGTTGTTCCAGGCACATGACGGGAGACATATTTCAGCTGCATGACATTCAAAATTTTAATAAGGGTTATGTTTCCTTCACGGGAGGTGAAGGCGGAAAGATCACACAGAAAGGAACAGTTACTAATGGAGTGTTGAGCTTTGAGAATGTCAACTATGCACCCGAGTTGAAGCATAGCTTATTGAGTGTCTCTCAGATATGCGACAAAGGCTATTCAACACACTTCACAGACAAAGAGTGTCTGATATTGAAGCCTGGTATTATAATCCCTGAAGATTGGATCTTGATGAAGTCAAAGCGGGATGGAAATGCTTACATCATAGACATGAATCATGATATACCGGAGCAAATCACTTGTCTCTTTTCTAAAGTCTCCGAACACAATTCCATGCTTTTGCATCATCGTCTCGGCCATGCAAACGCCAAGAACCTGAATCGTCTTGCAAAGAACGAGATCATGCGTGGCCTTCCAGTTAAAGACTTTATCACTTTTGAAAAATGTATGGCGTGTGCTCAAGGTAAACATCATAGAAAGCCTCATTTACCAAAGGCGGTTAATTCAATCAGCAAGGTTCTCCAAATATTGCACATGGATTTGTTTGGTCATCTCCATGCACTCAACAAAGCTCAGATGAAGACTACATATGAAATTATTTACAATCACAAGTCATCAGTTGCTCATTTCCAAATTTTTGGATGTCCTTGCACCCTTCTTCACCTCGAATCCAACCCCCAATTCAACTCTAAAGCCGATGAATGTTAATTTGCACGTACAACTTACCGAGTTTACAACAAGAAGACAAAATAGATCGTGGAATCTTTTGATGTTCGTTGGCTGGAGGAGAATGAGACAGATGCCAGAGTCGGACCTGACTGGTTATTTGACTATGATTCTTTGTTTAAATCATTTAATGTATTTTCAGATGATGTGTCAGGTTCTTGCTCAGGTTCGAAGGTTATTATTGAAGATGAAGAGGAATATGTTGTGTACAGACCACCTCTGGTGCCTCCTACGACTCCTAGGGTGGATGACTCTGCTCCAAGTACTTCTTCAGATTCTCCTACTCAAATAACTAATCCTGATGCTGAAACCACTCCACTCACTCCTGCTGAAAGAGAATTCATGATCAGAGATACTTCTGCTGCAACTCAAACTTTCATGGAACTTCTCTTTACCGAGCCGATTGCAAATGATGAATTGTGGAATCAAGTATTAATCAAAATCAGAGTAAAACGAATGCAGATTGAACAAACGATGTAAATAAGATTTGGTTTCTGCTCATTTATGCTTTCAACGTTTACAGAGAAAAATAGACAGGTTCTGTAAAGTACTCTTATCTAACTCTAGTAAAGTTCCATATTTATAGGAACAGTGAAAGCATACAAAAAAAATACTAAGGCATTGACACTTAAGCTTCGTACGAAATACACCTTAGTAAATAAACTTAAGAAACATTTGAAGGGTACAAAAGACTTCGACATATTACAACTAAATTCGACCCTTAAAATGTCCCACTTTGTAATAATGTCGACCTTCGTCAGTTCAAGAGTATATGTATAGCATACAACATTACCCTTCGAATCTCAGTGTTCCACGAGATAATCTTCTTCAGCTCCTTCTTATCTCCTTCGTTATTCTTCTTGCAGCTATTCATACGAACAATGAAATTCGTATATTGGGATGTTGTGTATCTTTCCACTTCGGAAGCTTGGAATAAGAATCTTTTAGCCTTCCCATTTTTATCCTTCCCAGCAAAGACCAAGCCAAACGGCTTCAAACAAATTTACTCGTCTGCATACTTCTGCAACTCAAGTTGAGTTAAAGGAAGTTCCATTGGCACTTTCACTTTCAATCCCTTTACAGTAGCTAACTCAACATCGGTAAGAGCTAAACACTCATAGTAGTTGTCAATGAAAATCTTGATGTGAGCAAGCCCAAGTCGAAAAACTTCAGGATCAGTTTCTCGAAAATATGAAGCATCTTTATCCTTTAACAACAATGCAACTTGTATCAGATCATACAAGTTCATCAAAGGAGAATCTGCCACTGAGAAATCACAAACTTGACCATTTTCCCTCGAAACAAAGAAGCGAAGATTCGTCATCATATTTTCGAATAACACATCCCTCTTTATACTTATCACCTTCTATATCTTCACGAGTGACCAAATTTCCTCTGGAAGCTTTCCAAGTACAACATGAAATCTGATTTTCATGTATGTGTACTCATCATCATTGTCAAACTTCTCAGCAATTTTATACTGAGCCATAATAAACATCATCTCATTAACAGGAAAATCCAGTTGATTTATGTCTGTGTTGAGAACAACATAGCTCTGCTTCGGCTTCTTTTCAAAAGCATACATACGATTATTTGCAACTTTCGACTCAATCATTTCATAGTTGTAATGCTTTGAAGGATCACCCTTGTTCATTCCAGGTGGATCGTTCACACGAAGTCGCATTATGCTTTGCACAATTCGTAACTTTTCAACCTCAGCCTCTGCTTCAGCTTTCTTTTCCTCCTTCGATTTTTCGATCAAAATTATTTTTCCTTTATCTTTGATCGAAGAGCCACCAACATTTTCTTTAGGCTTTGAACTACTGCCACCTTCCCCAATCATAATTCCTTTAGAGATTGGCTTCGTGACAATTGACACCGTAGTAACAATTGTTGAAGTAACTGGCCCAGCTGTTGACATAATTGGTTTTGTTGTTGGAATCTTCGAAGAAAACACCGTTCCAACAACCTTTGCATCTGCATGGAAATCTTCACCACCAGCCTTCGTACCACCAACTTTCTTCTCTCCCCCTTGCACCCCTGTGTAAACAGGCGGGGCATCTGTTGTAAGAAGGCTCGAAATTTGAGAAAGAGGAGCCAATTGCTTGTGTAAAATGGCTTCGAAATGAGTGAACTTCTGAGACAAAAATTCCGGAGTAATCAACGAAGATGAAACTGATTTAACAGTTAAATCTTTCAGCTCTTTCAACAGCTTAAGCACTTCCATAAAACTTTGATTTTCCGTTGTAGAAAGTTGAGTAAGTTGAGGACTCAAATTTTCATACAACTTGACATATTTGGTAACAACATCACAAATAATGTCAACTTTTTGATTTATCGAAGCATAATCCCTTTGCACGATTGCAATCTCCTTTTGCATATCCTGACGAAGCTCCTAAATTTGCGAATTCACATCCTCCCTGACTTTCTTTACATCTTGACCGAATAACACATGTCGTTCCTTCAACAAATTCTTGAATTCTTTCACCTCCCCTCTAAACATCGAAGTTAGATAATTTACTCTTAACTCATCATTCTGATCATTGTGGTCAACCTTCTCCAAGAGTCTAGTCTCCGAGTCTCGAACCATTCCAGAAACTTTACCCACCACCTTTACTTCGAAGGTTTTCAACAAACTGTCAACTTCCATAATGGACACAGACGAACTACTCCCCAAATCTGCTTGAGATTGAAGAATAGAATTTAATTTCTTGTTTAGAGTCTTGAATTGTTTCATCGTCATCAACATATGATCAGGAAAGTTGTCTTCTTCATCATCAAACTCCAAATCTTCAAACATTCCTCCAAAACCTTCGTTGTCACTATCAGTTTCAACAACAGGTGAACCTTTAACAGGTGAATCGATTTTGGGTGGATCAGTGGATTGAGATGGAAAAAGAGTTGTAAAAGGTTGATGGAGAATATTTTCAAAGGTAGGTGAATTTGTAGTATTCGGAACAATAAAAGGAGGTAATGAAACGAAAGTATCCTTTATCGAAGATGTAGGAATACCTTGAGTTGTATCACCAACTTCTTTGTTAGACTCTCCTTCACCCATATTGACATTTACAACCATATCAGATACGTGTGTAAAAATTCCTGAAGTTCAACCCTCCTCAGTATGTGATAACGAAACTTTGGGTGGTATGATAGTAGTCTTCTCAGGAGTAGATAGAGATTGAAAAATAATTGATTCTGGTGTTTCAGGAACTATCTCTTCTTCGAACGACTCCTCTTGTATAACCAACTTTTGTTGCCTTTTCTTCTTCTTCAAAATGTGTTTAGCCACGTCTTCAGCTCTACGTTTCTTTGACAAAGGCGAAACGGGAGCTGGAACCTCACGAAAAATTACTCCTTGATGAGAAAGTTGTGGTTTACGAACATTTGAAGGAGAAGATTTGAACAAACCATCTGAAGATTTTCTTGAACCCCGAGTCCTCTTCTTTAATCTTCGAAAAACACCAGATTTTGAAGGAATTTTCTCCTTAACTAGAGTATCATCAACGGGTTCCACTGGCTTGATTACAACAGTCGAAACATTTACTTCTGGCTTCTCAGGCTTCTTTGGGGACAGCTTGGATTCGTGCACATGCTTCTCGGGAGACTTTTGAGTTTCGTGCACTGGCTTCTCAAGTGTAGCCTTTTCATCCTTCTTAGAACGTTTTGGTTTCTTCGAAGGACCAACCTCTTCTTTCGACAATAACTTTCCAGTCGCAACATCAAGATTGATTGTTTTCCAGTACTCAACCAACACCGAATTTGTTGTCTCAACCCTCTTTAGCATTGCATCAGGAATCCTGGCAATGTGTGTGAACACTTCCATATCATCAGAAACTTCCTTTGGGAAGTGATACTTCATAAACTCAGCTCTTTCTTCATCAGCAGGTACTGCAATTCCTTCTTTTTCATAAAAATAACCAAGGATCAAACTCCAATACCTAGCACACGAAATGCCTTGAACCACGTTCGTGTTTTCGACACTCTTTTGGAATTCCTTCCACAACTGTGTAGAGTAGTCGACTAAAAGATCATAGTACAATCCTGCCACCATCGCATAAACCTCCATGCGACCTTTGTCTAATCCAACACTTCGACCAGTCAAGCATCGAAGAAATATTCCAAACAAGAAATTCCAAACAGTTGGAAGAGCTGACTTCTTGAAATCACTAATCTTCGTGAGTGGGGGTTGATGACCCATCTCATTAACAAGTTGAGAATTGGGAATATCAAGAATCGGGCAAAAGATCTTCTTAGACAAACAAATTTTCTTGTCATTCACCAGTTGAAAAGTGATGATATATATTGCTTTGCTATACGTAGCAGTGGATCCTGCCTGTGAAAGCCAAGAGAGAGGAACTGCAAACGAGTTGAACATCGCCTTTGAAAGAACAGAACTCTTCAATGCCACGATTAACATCTTCAACTATTCAGGATATAGACACACTGTGACAACCAGAAATTTCTATTCTGTACAACCATTCACTTCAATAGAAGTCAAAACTGTTTCTGCTAACTGTTAAGCTTGTTGGAGTCAGTTTGAGTGTTTTAAAGCTTAGTACTTCAAGAGATAACAGGAGAGAGGATACCCTAGGGTTTATTGTGCAACAATAAAGTCTCAAAACTCCAAGAGTTTGGACTTTACGGCCTAAACATGGTGTTTACGGCCGTAAACCCCAAGGGGTATAAATATGACACTTAGCCATTTTTAACACTTTTTCACCATTTCAAGACTAGAACACAAATCCTCTCAAGTAGCATCCGATTTTCCTTCTTGATCTTCAACTATGTAAGTGTTTCTTGCCCTAATCAGTTGATATCTTACTTAATCTAGTGATCTTACATGATTCCATCCGTGAAATCATTCCATTTGTGTAGATCTTCAAGTGTTCTTAGTTTCACCAAGAACACCAAGAACACACACTAGTGTTCTTGGACTTGTAACACCCTTTCAAGCTTCTACATAGTAAGTACTCTTACCCTAGTGTGTTATAAGGCTTGTTACACTTCTTAATCAACTAGTAAACACAAAGAAACAAAAGATCAAAGGTGTTTACGGTCCAACATGTTCTTGGACCGTAAACCCTAATGAAGGGGCCATTGTGTGCCCTAGTCCCTTACCAAGCCTTGGATACTAGTCTAGATCCCATCCTTGATGTGCTTAGGACTTTAAACATCAAAAAGACCATGAACCATTAGAGTTTACGGCCGTAAATTCATGGAGAAATGGTCCATGGGCCGTAAACTCTACAAAGGGGTGAAATGATGCCACAATCACTTCCTAAGGCTTAGACTTGAAGTAGGAATGCTTCTTTATGACCTATAAGCTTCAAAACACAAAATGGTAGAAGTACCATGAGTTAACGGCCGTAAACTCATGGGTTTACGGCCGTAAACTCCAAGGGAGTTGGTCCCAAAACCGTAAACTCATAAAGAGTTTACCCTTGGACCCTAAACTCAATAGCCAAGCCCTACAACCCTTAGATGAAATCCTTAGTACATATAGCACTTAAATCAAGTGTTTTTCATGTCCTAGGATGTCTTAACTTGGTTAATTAGTTGTTTAATGACTAATTGGATACATATATGTGTTATTATATGTTAACTAGGATCCTTGTGTGTGTTCAAGTCTTCACTTGACACTTAGCATCCTATAACATCCGTTCATCCAAACCACTCACTACAGGTGAGTTCATACCCCTTAATTAACCTTTTAAATGTTTTTAAATGCTTTTACGTGGGGGGGGGGGATACAATTTGAACTATTATAGTTATTATATCAATCACATGTGATTAATAACTACCAAACAAGTGGATTTCTTACTTTTCAAACTATGTCATCAAACTGTTTTACTTCAAACTGTTTTACAAACTCTTTTACATGTCAAATACTTTTATTAAACTCTTTTAAACTTATATTCTGTTAAATGTGTATCTATATAGATATAGTTATATAAGTAGGAATTAAAGGACTTAGGACTGATAGCTCACCTTACCTCCTGTTCCTTGTTTGGTTGTGGACTTAGGGTATCGGTTGTTTGTCCGAAGGTCGTTTGAATCCTAGTCATATATCATGTATATGTGTATAGATATAAAAGGTTACTTCTTTCTATTCAATACCTTTGGGTAGCAAAGGTATACACACATGTTCATACATTCAAACAACATTACTAGTAAGCTATAATAGGTATAGTTTAGGGAGATACTAATACTATTACTAGAATAGTGAAACATACAAAGAGTCAGTTCATACATGAGTCAATACCATACAGAGAGAACATAACATACAGATAGAGAATACTATGATGAGAAACAAACAATACCATACAGAGAGAACATACATACATACTAGACAGAGAGGGAACATACAATACAGCTAGTACATTCAATACATTCACAAGTGCACTAATACAATTATGTGAGTCACGTAACGGGGCATGGCATCACCTGTCATGGCCCGTTTTGTATCCAGAATCTCCTTAAATGGAGAGCGTTGAGTTTGTGTATAGATCTATACTGGATTGACTATCCTACACCTTGCTGCTCGCTACAGCGGGACTTGCAAGTCTACGGGTGCCAAACGTCATTTCTTCCGACGTCTTACATCGTCGTGTTTATAGTCAGTAGTAGGGTACAGGCCGATCACATGGTGCTTTAAATAACAACTGGTTTAAGGTAGTTAGTACAGCAGTAGTTACTTAATACAACACTACCTTACTATTTTATTTTCCCATTGCATTCACTTTGTGATCTTCACACAATGAACTGTAATGTAAAAACTATATTTTGGTAAAAGATAGTCAGATTTGGGAAAATACATACTCTTTCAAGAGCCACACACACGACCACTAGATGCCTTGGTAGAAGGCTATTGTTAGTAGGAAACATAGGGTTTTCTAGGAGAGTTCAAACAACTTACAAACATTTTCAAACTTATACATTACATACTTACAAACAATTTCATACAAACAGAGACACTAATATACTTATGATCTCACCAGCTTTAAAGCTGATAAACTCTTTCAAAATAACTTGTAGTCTCAGGTCACCAGTAGACAGGTACCGGTGCCAGGTTTTGAGAAGATGGAGTTCGTTCAAGACTCATCTTTTATTTTGATTCATATTTTTGGTGTCTATTTAACTTGACAGAACACACTTGTATTAAATTATATTATTAATGCAATGGATGATGTTGTTGCTTGTTTACTACTATTCATTGTTGTGATACTGTACATGACGTCCTCCACCCCCGAACGATTCCGCCGTTCCGGTTTTGGGGTGTGACAGATTGGTATCAGAGCATTGTTTATAGTGAATTGAGTATATCAACCCATAAAAAGATATACGAACTATAAACACAACATGATTAAAATACTCTGATAAAGAGTTTATACTTTTAAATAATAAATTATTTAACCAAGTATACATACCTGCATTCATACTAAAATCAGTGTCACTAGGACAGAACAAAAGTATTACGATTGGTGGGCAGCACAAGTAGACTTAGAGACATATAGTTAAAGCTGGGAAAATATAGCCTGATCAACTATATTATCCGAGGATTGACTAGCATGTGCCTAAGTGTGATTGTGAGGTTGCAACAAGTCTAAAAACTTACCAACACTACTACAATGAAAACATTAGAACAGAACATAAACTTAAAATAATATTAGGAGTATTTTGTGTTACTATAATTACTTATCTGAGAACTAAAAAAAAGGTCTTTATTAGTATGTCAATAGTTGCAGAGTGGATACACTAAGGTTATATGTAACTAGGATGTCATAGACTTAGAATCTGTGATCTTTCCTTTACTTCCTGTTCCTTGTTTGGTTGTGGGCTTAGAGTTAGGGTCACTTATTCGAAGGTCTATCCTGTCTTGGTTACATATGGCTGGTATGCACTACGCAAATGTTGAAGTAACTAATAAAGATCATCTTATAATTATCTAGATAGTTCGTCTATTAATTATTTCTTTATCCCTTTTCTCGCGTAGATATAATGGTTGGATTCCATCTTCCCGGAGACCTGTACTATCCCAACAACGGCAATGCATGATGGCTTGGAGAAGAGCCAAAAGATGATCACCCAATCCCTTTGGATGATCACGAAGCTGAAGGCTTTTCTGATGGTTCTGACTCAGAGCCAGAAGTCAATAACCTACCCCCAGCTGCTCAAGACCTAAACCCTCGTCCAACATTTCAAGGACCTACACCTCTGTGGGCCACAAACTTGAATAGATGGAGTCAGGAACAGGGTCAACCCATTCCCTACAATGGTGACAGAGGCTTCTACAACCTCACCGAGGGAGGTTCAGCTGACAGGTTCCTACCCATCATGGTTCGTAGGATTTCTCGGAACACCGAGCAACGTCGAGCAACTATCGACCGAGTCGTGGAGATTGAAGCCAATGGCGTTAACACGGTCCGCATTCGCCAGCTAGAGTCTGCTCATGAAAGGACACAGGTCCGCAATGCAGCTTTGCAGAGGGAACTCGCTGAAACCCAAGCTGAAGTCAGGGAACTTCGAGCACAGTAAGCAAGATCTGAAAGGCGCATAAGGGACATAGAACGCCTTCTGTCGGATTCAAGAACTCACTCTAGTAGTTCTCGTCGCCGATAGAGTCTCCTCGACTTCTCTTTTGGATATAACCTAGTTTGTGTAAAAACTCTAGTCTAATTTCCTATCTTCGTAAATCTTAGACCTGTTAGGTCTTGATTAGGTCGTAGTTCTGTCAAAATTTTCCCATCTTGGTTGATGTAAGGCCTACTTCTAGGTCATTTTTCC